GTCTATGCAATCTCCAATTGGAACTGTCAACGAGAATTTGTTCTTTGTTGTTTGTATTGCTACACTATGTTGATATTCACAAACTATTGCCATCTGAATCACTACGACAGTGCCTTCACTACTGCAGTGACTTGGTTTAATCTCCATTCATATTGGCACGCAGATACAGTCATCATGTTTAATCTCCATTCATATGCACGACTAAAAAAGTGGCCGTATTCAATATCAATGTTGGCAGTTGTTTCATTTAGAGCAACAGACTGGAAACCTCTTGAGAACCATTCAGTTTTGTCATGACCAAAATCAGGACCTGCTATGATAGATCCTAGAGCTCTACAACTACATCCCCTCACCACAACCTGTATGCATTTCAATATTGTGTTTCAAAGGATAAATTAACTCAATAGCACTTCTGTCCCTTGTTAATTACCTCGTCGCCGTGTTCAAAACAATTGAGAATGTGAGAGGTACAATGTGGTGCTACTTCAAACCACCTAACTGACTCTGCATCTCCATAGAGGCATCACCCTCTCTTTGCATACTCTTCTTTGTCATACTTCACCAATTATGTCGATATACCAAACATTTAGGCCCGTTTGAATGGTTGGCCTATGTTGATGGGATGGGCTTCTTCGGGGCTTTAAAAGCTGGCTTGCCCGTTCCAAGTTGGGAGTTGAGCAATGTGACTTGGGATAAGGCCTGGGCCATGTTGGTTCTAAAGTGTGAAGGGTAATGCGTCAGGCTGGTTTCACAGAGGAGCGATCACCTTCCGTTCCCTGCCGTGGAAGGATCACAATAAGCCGGTGCTCCACGAGTCAACAAAATCCCAGATAACCAGGCCCAATCAACCACCCAACATCGAGGGCAAATGCACGATCATTAGGCAGAAAGATGATCTGAGTGAGTTCAACAACCATATATACTCCACTGTACACCATAAGTCTTCATGTGACATTGTTGATCTAGTTTAATCTCAAATGCATTATTACGTATACCTGAATGTGAAATGATATATGCTTTATGAGTTTTAACTATTAATGAAAAAAATGCGTACATATGTTTCTCATGCACAATCAGGACTTTCGTCGCGCCGAAAGCTAAACTTTGGATAAAAACATGCATGCACAAAGAGTTGGGACCATTGAGCAGTTAATGAAGTTGTGAACCCTATATGGCCATATAGAGGATTAGAGGATCACATATACTAATGGACTAACCAAACTATATATTTACGAGTTATGACTATATCATTAACTAATTAATGCTTCATGAACTGAGATGAAAGAATGAAAGAAACAATTTAACTCCAAACTCATACTGTATATATTTTGACTGAAAAAATGAATACATTCATGATGATATATAGATCATTGATGTAATGTCCTGCTCTCCTGCATGCCTAACTCCATAGTCTAATTGTCAAACTGTCAGTTATGTATGATCAGTCAGTCGGTTGATTGTTTGGACGACAAACAATTTTATTCCAAATCGATCTTTGCAAAACAACTACTGGTACGAGCAATCTTCGATGTAGATGGCGTTTTCGAATCATCTGGTACCCTTTGTTGAGATTTTTTCTTTGCTATATCCCTCATTGCCCATGCCAAAGAAAGCTTTGGATTGAGTCTTGTAGTATTATTAAATTTCTGGCAAATTTCTGCATGTGCACATAAAGCTTCTTCCATGGTTGATATTGGTACGACTCTTGATAACCTTTCTTTAACAGCTTCTGAACATAACCCACAAACCCAATGACCACAGTGAGAATCTCTAACATGTTTAATATAATCTGGGGTGCAGTCTTCATTCAGTCCACAACATCTGCATTCAGCCTTCTCAACTTCATTCATCGTTTTTGCGCCAGTATCTTGATCCTTTTGAAGTTTATCGATTTCGATATATACATCAGAAACCGCCCTTCTAAGGCCTTCATGATCACTTCTTGAATCCATGGTGCATTCAACACAGGAATTTTCAAGTTGGTATATATAAGTACTGGTATATATACCAGTTAGTTATGATAGATTTGTTTGATTAAATTATACTGCATATAGGTATTTATACCTGCAAAGAGAGATCGAATGGCTGGGGTGCTAAGGCACGATGTATTCAAATTCAAAGGTCTTAAAGATAAGAACTAGTTACTAAGATATAGCTAGTTGCACATTAAGATCTAAAGCCTAGAATGTAAAGCACAGCACGTAAAAGAGTCACAGACCTATAATGTCCAAGTTGACCCACATGGCGCAACGCCGCAACACTTTAATCATAGTTCAAAATGCCGATATCCTATCCGGAAAAATGGATTTTGCCGGATTTCAACACTAGAAACTAATTTAAAAATATT